CGTACGTCGTACGTACGAGAGAGAGAGAGAGAGAGAGAGAGAGAGAGAGAGAGAGAGAGAGAGCTTTTTTTACGTCTGCAAACGAATGAAAAAATGAAGCATGTAAATTCGAATCAAGGAAAGAAGAAAGATGTGAAAATCAATAGTTGATGTTTTATTATTCAAATAATGGATATAACAATAAAAGAGAAGGAGCTATTGAAATTAGCACCATTCAAATGACAAAATTCTGTACGGCAAAATTATTCTTATTTTATTGCTGTGCTACTGTCTCGCCAGGATAATTATTGCAGAACTTTACGGATGGGATACACATATATTTCACCGAGCGTCTATTCAATGGTCATGGATTGGAGAATAGATTGATCGCGAACGACAACGACTGTGAAACGTAAAGTTTATATGCAAAGTTCTTTTAGAGTTGTTACGAAACTGATTAATGAAAACATTAAAAAGTACATGTAATTATAGATATACAATATTTAGTTTCTTTATTATAGATCAATACTTAATTTCTTTAATATAGATAATCGATAGTAATTTTAAAATTATAATGAATATACTCAATTTTTTGTATTCAGTTTGCAAGTGTAGAAAAAAATTGATCATATGTTACTATATGTTTTATCATGTGCAATATCATTCTCACTAATTTTTATTGTATTTATATAGAATTCTTATTAATAAATTTTAAACAAATGTGTGTCTGTGTGTGCGATTATTGTTATTAAATATTATCTATCATATGTATGGCAAGTTTCAAATTTTTTCTCGTATTAAAATTTTGCAATTTAACAGCTTAATATATTCAACATGTAGAAAATTAATGATATAGATTTCTTTATTTTCACGATGCCGCTTTACCTGCTACTTCTATAAGAAATTACGCGTATTTTTAGGGAACGAAATGCGCGAGCGTGATGTGCAAAGCGCGAGTTTATTTTCGGTGGAAATCCTACATGGTGCGGGGCAGCATCCGATCCGTTTAAAAAAAGCGTGTATCTCTGTGTTGCGTGGGTTTTTCAAGGCCGCAGAGGAAGCTTTCCGGGGCCATTGTATCGTGTCGCGCGGTTTCGGAATTTTGTCAAAACTCAGACTCACACTCTGATTCACTCAACGAAGAAATGTCACGCGCCGTCACAGAGGCAGCGCCTGGTCATCGCTTCACTAGTCCATGCCCTCTTCTCACGGGATTAGTCAAATCCAAAAATAATACCGCAAGCACATCGCGATGCAAATGGACACGGCGATGTAAATCAGACGTTTTAAGATCCCTTGAACTTAAGATTCACAGACACTCTGGCAAAATTGTGTGTTCTTGAACATAGATAACAAAATTGTGTTTTTGAACATAGATAATACTTAAAATTATTAAATAAATAAATATAATTAAAAGTACTGTGTACAAATATATATTAAAAGTACTGTGTACAAATATATATTGAATTTTTGATAGGCACGATGTTTATTTAATGTTTTGAAATTTTGCGCAATTTTGATCAATTGTCCTGTCGTAAAAATCAAAAACTAAAAATGTCGGTCTTTAACGAGCTGTGAGGCTTGTAGATAATGGCATAAAAATAGTTTCACGTTGGCGTAATATCACAAATTCATCAGGTCAATCATTATAAATCAATAAGTAATAATTGAGTTACGAAACAATATGTACGCGTAATTAAATACAATACGTACGCGTTAATTATTTTAATCAATATGGTATTGTTAATATTTCTATTCTCCCAAGAAGATGAAACTGACCATGCATTCTGTGCGGAATATTCATCATTCTCATCCATACTTTTCCATTAGTTCAAATATTTCAGATGCAGGCGTTGTTAAAATACGGGAACGCGGAAGCTATGCTGCGCGCGGAATCGCATATCACTTTCAATCGGAAACATTTTCACGTCGAATAAAGCCCGAGGCAGTCTCACAATGGTATTTTTTTCACGAAGCTGTGCATTAAAAAAGCGCGCACGTTAGCCCGTATTTCTCTGTTTTGATTTCGGCCGCGATGGCGCGCGGTGTGCAAAGTGGACTTGAAAATAACCCCGCCACGAGAGGAGACCATCCGGCCTATTAATAGTTTACCGAAGTGAGTATCTTTGTCGCCGGTTCGGTACCGACTACGCGCGGTTCGGCCGCAAAATCCGCCGATACAGTCCGCGTGCGTGCACGTGTGTCGTCGCCCGAAGACGTCGCCGCGATGCAGCTGACAACTCCGTCTAATGGCGAAGTCTGCAGTGGACGACTCCCGACGCGGATGAATTAGGAGCTGCCAGTTAAGTACGAGAGAACCACGATCGAAGACGAAGAGGAGAGAGGGAAGGAGAGGGTATATTCTGCGGTATATGTCTATTCGGCGGACATGACTGTCGTCGTGAGACTCACCGATCGCTCTGACGAGATTTTTGGCGTTCGCGTATAGCCAGAAACTGGAGGGAACTTAAAACCGCGTTTCTCGAGAGAATCTAAATAAAGAACTATGCAGCGCGAGGGCTGAAGCGGGGCGCGGTGCCTCGGGATATGTGAGAGTGAGTAAGAATGGTACAGCGAGCCGCGTGTAGCAACGAGACGAACGCATCCCTCAATGGCGTACCGAACGGCGACCGCGAAGGAGGAACATCCGGTGTGGTAGCAACGGATGCGGTGATAGCGCATGGTGCTGTTGACGGCGAATCGACTTCCTTGACACGCAGTAGTGGCGACGGTGGTGGCGGCGGCAGTGGCGGCGGCGGCGGCAGCGGCGGCGGCGGCGGCGGTGGTGGAGGTGGCGGCGGTAGGTTCTCCCTGTTCAGGTGGTTCAAGCGAAATCGCGATTCAACCGTGGAGAAACGACGGAAAACGAGCGCGAGGCCGGACGACGATGGCGTCGTCCGACGACGCAGCAGCGTCTATTCCAGCGTGGAGAGCGTAGACACCTTTTACAGCACCACTACGGTCCGCAGTTTTGCGTTTCACACGGGAACCCTGGGTCGTTGCAACGTACTGTCTCTGGACATTCTCAAGCAAGCAGCCGAGGTCGGCCCGTTTGCCGCTGGAGCTTCGAAGGCGTATCTAGGTAACAAAGAGAACAACGCCGTTGCCTGCACATTGCCGATTAATGTACACTCCAGAAGACGAGACATCACCACCAGGTATTCGTTGCAACCGTCGACGAATTTCAGCTCGTGCGGGAACTTCCTGACAACCGAAAAGAATTCATCGGATTCATCGAGAAGATTCAATGAAAATGCGAGAACCAATTGCAATGGATCTGTGCGGCGACGGGTTCATGTAAAGGGAAAACGGAGAGCACCCAATCCTCCCGCCGCGGTAGTCAATGTCGTGGAGGTCGATGTACGCGAAACACCCGCGAGGAATAGCAATAGACGAAAACGACGGGCGCCGCGACCTCCTGAAAAAGCTTCAACCGCGGAGCAATCGAAGCTCGTCACCAATGGCGACAAGATGGAAATAGAGAAACGGAAGAATATCGATGAGAGACAATCTATCAGCAATGACACGCTAATTCTTCAGGGTGGTATGCTGCTGTCGAAGAAGGAAGTCTGCGGTAGTCCAAAGGCCGCGAAAAAGAACGATAACGAGACGAGAACATCCAGCGTGACGGTCCTTCAGGAAAGAGCGCAGAGTCCCATTGGCACTTTGAACGCCATGCCACGACCTTGGTACAAACGTAGCGTCTTCGAGAACTCTCGCGATCCTGGAACGTCCAAAAGAGGCGCCGTCTTTCGCAGTCCTGTGGTATCCACCGAAATGAAGGATGAATGCATCGGAATGAACATAAATTCTTCCCCGAGTTATTCCATCGATGCTTCTCTGTCAAGGTTTTTCCATCGCGGTGAACGGCAGAGCGACGACAGGAAACGACAGGAGGCTAAACGAAAGTCTGGCTTATCCATTCTGACGAACATCAGCGAGCTGGACAAAGAAGCCGCAGCGATCGTGCAAGAGGAGCAGGCGCGAACGCGGGCGTCGATGATGCTAAAGGCGTCAAAATTTGCCGATGAATTTGAGAGGAGAAATGAAGTTAACGAGGAACTCGTTCAGGACATCGTTACCTCGGCGATTGAGAGCTCATCGCCCAGAAGAGGCACACGCGCGCTGATTTCAAAATTCAACGCTATCAGCAACATCACTAAAGTCACGGTCAACGCTAGTTTTTTTGCTAAAAGAGATCAGCCAGGTTACAAGCTCGATCGTGAAACAGTGAGAAACAGCAGATTCGAACAGGCCGGAGACTGGAGGAATCAGAGATTCTCGGTTCAGCAGGATCTCGGTCAAAGCGTTCGCGTAGATAAAGATATCTCTAGATACTTCTTGCCACAGCAGAGATCATCAAGGAATATAACCGAACCGACTCACGCGGATGTAAAGTCAGTAGACGTAAAGATTACTTCTAATAAAGAGCAGAACGATCAGCTAATGAAGGACACATCTAGCAGAATATCCTTGTTACAAAGCCAGCTCGCTGCGAATCGTGCGAACGAGTCTTTAACTACACAAAAGGATATTGCGTTTCCGGAAGAAAAAAATAGATCGCGGCAAGAAATCGCCAAAGAAATAAAGGGCAAAGAATCGCCGAGACTGAACAACGAAACTAGAAGAGATTTTTTGCTCTCTCGCGCTCGTAATTTAGCTGAAAGCACAGAAAACGCATTAGATCCCTTCAGAGAGAATGCGGATGGGATGCAAAGGGAATTTTCGGACATCTTCGACGAAATCGACCGACAACTGCATACTAGAGAGTTTAAACTCGTCGAACGGAGACCAGTAGCCGAATCTGTCAGAGGCAAAGTTTCGGAGGATGAAGCCCTATCAAGCAAAGTGGCTAAAATACTCGATATTCTGGTGGAAGCTGAGAAGGATAGTAAAACAAGACCGACAGTGCAGTCGGAAAGATCGATGCAAGACAAGGAAACATCCCGTTTGATTGATTCAGACCAGAAGATGAAGCCCAGTAAGACAAAATTAACCGCTCTCAATACTGTCGAGGATCCAATTACGACGGATTTGAAGGAGATGGTGAAGGAGATGAAGCGCTCGTTACCGAAACGACCCAAGTCGAAGAAGACTATATCGAACGATGATGACGTTCTCGAAAAGGTTGAGAAGCGTTCACCTGTACCTGCGAACAAGATCTCTTACATTGGTTCGGTCATGGCGACAAGGCCGGTAACATCGTCCAATGATTACGAGACAGATAAGCAAAAGGTGTCCTCGTCAGCGCAAACCAGTGGAAACATCCGTAGATTAAATCAGCCTTCTACGTCCGCCGAACGACCATCTACATCTGGATGGAAACACGAGAACGTGCTCTACAGAACTTCTGGCAAGGGTTCGGTCCTTGTGAAAAATACTTTCCAACTGATACGACCACGCGATTTCGCCGAGATAGAAGCTATGAAGACCACGAAGGAGATATACAAGGAAAACACTTATGCCAATGTGATAGAACCGTCGCTGTATGCCAATGCTCACGTACCTCCCATATCGCCGAAACAACGGCCGGATCCGACGCGATCTAAGGCTATTCCGCAAAATAGCCACGCTGAAAAGTCGCCCAATATTGCAAACGAGAATAAAATCATGTCGAACGACGACGAGCTTGTAGATGAAGGTAATTACATTCATTTTTTTTACATTCGCAAATTACATTCATTTTGGAACAAAATTTATATTTCAGTAATTTGTTCTAAAGAAAGAAAAGAAAACGAATACATAAATAATTATTAAAAAGTTGTACAAGAGTAAGTAATTTTTAATCGTGATTATTGTCGCAGACGATAATTCAACAGCGAGGAACATGAATACTCTGGCCATAAATCGATTACTAAGAAAACTGGAAGGGGCTATCGCGTCGGGTCATCATCAGCAAGCGGCAGGATTAGCGAAGGAATTGGCAAGACTCAAAATCCATTGTTCCGTGATACGACAGCGTTCGGCGGCGCGTTTGAAGGATCAGTCGATTAAAGTCAATATGTATATCGAAGACAAACTCGCCCACCAAGGGCCCATACCACTTCAGGTAAGTAACCGATACTGACGGTTGCTCGATATGCAAACAAAACGTTTCATGAACCGGGCTGTGATAACAGCTGCCGACGAGAATGACGGTAGCCGAGCTGAAGACAAAGATACATACGGAGTTTGAGATACCTACGAACGTGCAACGATGGATCATCGGGAAAAACTTGGCTGATCGCGACGAAACCACTCTCGACGAATTAAATGCGGTGGATGGTTTACCAGTGTTCCTTTATCTTGTAGCACCCGGTAATCTGATTCATTCGACACGATTCCTACTTGGATTAGATAAAAACTTATTTTCAAATCAATGGAAATACATCATATATATATATATAAAATTTAATTATTATATAAAATATCTCTCTGTATCTTTCTTTCTTAATAATAAATTATGATATAACTTTGTAGAATTGCACGTCGATAATGCAACGCAAGCGAATAAGCCAGAAGTTCCCGAGACAGAGAAAGTTCCTGAGGAATTGCCGCAAGATCCACCAATGGAAATCTTAGAGACAATCGAAGAAAAGCAGGAAATTAAGGAAACGGATAAAATAATATTAACAACAGACGAGCATCAGGTAACAACGTTCTATCGTCCATCGAAATCCTAGTTTTGCTCATTGAAATAGCTATTGCGGTTTTGTGGGTTTTCATTTGTTTATTGGTTAACCAACTGCATATTAATCAAAGAGGACGTATATAATGTGTCTCTTGATATGCGTGCACAATAGCAAGAAGTAACGGAGACAGACACGACGGAAGACGTCAAGATAAGACGATACGAGGAACTGATATCGTTGGAGAACTGGGATGTCATTCCGAATTCTGAATCAATCGAGTGTCCAATATGCTTCGTTACATATGGTCCGCGCGAAGGTGTAATTCTGAGGGATTGTTTACATATGTTCTGCAGGTAGAAACCCTTTAATCTGCCTCACATCCCAGCTTTAATTACTGTTTAATCCATTAAGTACAGGAACCAATTTCAATAGCTGTATCGCGTAGGTGTTTTCCATGTACAGAGACAATATAGATTGCTTTCGCTCATTATAGTTGTTTGCTACAAACGCCTGTATCGATTCTAATTTATCCTAGCGAAATGCATTTAGCTGGCTCGAGCGTTTAGATATGTATGCGTTATACATTAAACCGCGATGCATCACAGATATATTTATCTGCTCTATGATACGCTGATTCATGCACATTACTAATGCGACAATTACGCTATCGCTGCCGCGGATCGCACGCGCGGATGTCCTAGATTCTGTTGTCCAGTAAACTCCGTAAAAAGATTAAAAAAAAAAAAAAAACAATATGACAGCCCAGCTATATTTTTCATTTATCTACTTATTAATCAAGACAAACATGCATGTTTTATTTCCGTGTATAATAAATTTTCGATATATTCATATATATCATATATATATATTTCGATATATTCATAGACAATGTATTGCCAATACAATCGCATATTGTGAAGAAGCGGAAGTGAAATGTCCATACAGAGACCCCGACTATACGTGTGAATCGACTCTTCAAGAACGTGAGATCAAGGCGGTAAGTTTCTGTTTAAGATTTAACTGCCTCAAGTTTTAATAAAGTTTGCGATGATCCTATTATTATTTATGTCTAGCTCGTCGAGCCGGAAGTTTATCAGCAGCATCTCGCAAAGTCGATCGCACAAGCGGAGAACAATGCCGGAAATAAGGCTTTCCATTGCAAGACACCGGACTGTCCTGGTTGGTGCATTTACGACGACGATGTGAACAATTTCTTATGTCCTGTATGCGGAGCTAATAATTGTCTTAACTGTCAGGTGAGTGTTGCATACATCTAATGATAAAACAAATTTAGAAAAACCAAAATATAAACACATGATACAAATAAAAATATTATTAATCTATATATCTAAATGAAAAAAAGTTGCGTAAAAAGATTTCACATTTTATTTTCAACACTATAAATATTTGGATATGAAAGCTAATATGAAAAGCTAATTTAATCAAAATACAATATGTATAATACGCTTGTGTTCAAATTTGCGGCGACAATTCTTTCCTCGTAGTTTTTCTACTCTCATTTCCCTAGATTTATTAATTTTCATTATAACTGCACGTAAAATAACAAGTAACAAGATATTGACAACGCTTTTATTAAAATTGATATTTAATTAAAAGAGAAATATTTTTTAAATTTTATCTGCCACTTTTTTTCTCATAATATATTGCGGCTTAAAATTTATTCATTTAGCAGCGTACACGCTTAAAGATCAAATGATATTTATTTTTATAAAATAAAGATCTCTTCGAGATTATGAAGACTGTATAAATCGTGCTTTCAAAGGTCGTTCATACCGGGAAGAACTGTAAACAATATCAGCAAGAATTGCTGTTTTCAAAAGAAACTGATCAAGAATCTAGAAGGACAGCAGCAATGCTTAAAGAGATGGTCGATAGAGGAGAGGCACTTGCGTGTCCCACGTGTGCCGTCGTCCTTATGAAGAAGTGGGGCTGCGACTGGCTGGTTTGCTCCATGTGCAAAACGGAGATATGTTGGGTAACCAGAGGACCGCGTTGGGGCCCAGGAGTAAGTATTAATTTATTTTCTGCAATTTATTAGGATCTCTGAGAGCTTATGAGGGTTCTAATAAGCGTAAATTTGTTAACAATTAACGACATCGTTATACAACTTTATTGATCGCTTGTTATTTGTTGCAGGGTAAAGGGGACACATCTGGTGGTTGCAGATGTGGTGAGAACGGAGTCAAGTGTCATCCTCGTTGCAATTACTGCCATTAAAGAATTACAACTGATATAACAATGAGTAAATTTTTTTATAAAATAGTTAATAGAAAATTTTGGGTCTTTTGTGCAATTTTTTTTCCCTGTTTCTATTTTCATTCAATTTTGCCATTTTAATATTTCAACTATTCACAGTTATTAATTTTTATATGTTAAATACAGGTTGAGGACATACTCTCAAGAACTGTAACGTACATTCGAGGATTTCATTTTCTCAAAAAAAAAAAAAAAAATCAATGAATAAATATACATAACATTTACAGTGAAGTGTTTTAGAATGCTTTTACGTCATTATTCATATTAATATATAATGATTTTTAGATTTATAGATCTGCAATGTATGAAGTTCTTTTATACGTTTAATATAAGTTCGAATTCTGATAAGTCAGTAGGATTTATATGTCGCTTGCTCAATGGTTAATCTTATTGCGGTATTGTCCTTCCTAGGATTGGAAATGAGATTTTAATAAAAAGGAGAACACACCTAACTTTGTACCGATATTTCTTATTTTACCGTAAATACAAAGTGGGAAATCAATCATATTTTACTTAAAGCTTTTGATAACTCTAAGATGTATAATAAATTATTGATACAATAATTTTTTGCAATTATACAGGCACCGATTCTTCGTTCTCGCCGGAAGTTGTTTCGCTTGTACCAATCTGTTTTAGTCGAGTAATTAATGTGGTTTGATGATGCGTGAGCTGCTGATTTAGATTGTTACCGCCTGCATTCTGTAACAACTGAACAAGATGAACTCGTGATGATGTAAGATCCATTTTACCGTATTTCAAAAAGTCCTTTTTATTCAGCACATGTTCCTCCAATATACCTCCTATAAAATACAGATTTATTATTAGTTATATTTTCCTATTTTAGTGCTTCTCTTAAAATTATTTATAATATTATTACTTACCCAATAAAATAACTTGTGGAAACTTTTTAATAATTTGTTCGAAAGCAGCAACGTTTATATCAGAACCAAATACAATAGAAAAATGCGACGAATACAATGGCATTGTTAGCACGTAAGGTGAATCCATCAATGCCAATTTCATAATTTTCTTACTATATCGTTTATAATACATATTTGTCTTTTTCAATAGAACTTTGAGGTCAAATTCGTCCTCCGATAACATAGAATTTTGATGGCAAATGGCAATCATTTTGGAATTGTCAAACCAGTTACGGACTTCACGTGCTATTATTCTTTCGTAAGGATTATATTCTTCTTTCTTTTTCTCTACAGATACTGCTCTGTGGCATAATTCTTCTAATTTTTTGCCTTCATTTGGGAACGGATAAAAAGGCGTCATAAATTCGTTTACCAATGCCCTCAGATAATGCGATGGTCTGGGTCTTTGTATATTAATTTTGCCTCGAAAACGTTTTTGTTGATAAAGAATTATGTTTTGGAGTAATCTGAAATGCTGAAACATATAATAGAATATCATTGAATTACAGTAAAAAATTGGTTGAGAAAAAAGAAACAGGTTAGTTAAAAATTCATACTTACCACTGCAATTCTTTTTTACAATTTTACAATTTTTATCCTCAATATCCTCAATATAATTCATTTTGTTACAAAAAGATTCTATTATCATATATTGAATCGATGAGAACGATAGAGATATATTTTGGAAATTTGAAGTGATTTAGCAATATATAATTCCTGTTCGGAACTATCAGTTATTTAATTCATATAAACTACATATATAAATGTTTATATCATAATAAGTACATGATCCATATCGATTAAAGACAAGTACAAAATCATATATATATATACAGAAATAATTACTTTCTTTTAATGATATAAGGCACTTTGGAACAGATCATATATATATATATAGATAAAATATATATTTATATATATGCAAAAATGTGTAATTTGCAAATGCGTGATAATGTGTGTGTATATATATATTATTTACTTATGCAGAGTATCTGCATTTACTTTCCATATTGTCTTTTATGCGATATAACTGATTCTTCCGCTACAATAATTATTAGTTTCGTGCCTTGCTTCTATGCTATCTCCAAAATTAAGTGATTTTCTGTTCCTATTCAATCGAAGTATTGATTTAAGGCTGTTTTTCTTTCGCTTATATCGATCATCTAATGCTGAATTAAGAGAAGCTTGCTTTACATCTCCCCGACTATTCGAGAAACCTTCACGTTCGTCTTTGATATTATTGCTACTTGTAACTTCGCCATGTACATCGTCTACGAGCCAATGTTTTTTCGGCGAAAGAAATTTATTATTGCATCCAGGTATAGTGTACATATATTCTGATTGAGCAACATCAACAGGCTTTTCATATCGTTTTACATTATTGTCTGTACTTGTATTTCCAGCTAAGACTCCTTTACTCGTATGCTTCTCAAAATTATTCGACTTGGTTGTGCTCCTCTTCGAATAATCTCCAACGTCACTTGAGTGATTGCTCGTTTGGCTGGTCGATTTCTGATTAGTTTGCTCCGCGTTCTTATTTTCTCTACCTTCACGTAATTTTTTGTTTCTCTTATAAGTATCTGTATTTTTAGCATCAAGCGCGGCGTGTCGTTTCTCAGACATGCTCTGTCTGCCCAGAGCATCACGAGAAAATTTATTTGAAGAAGAATTTAATTCTTCTAAAGATAACTGACTGTCATACGTAGGATCCCCGGAATATTGGCTATCCTTGTCCTCAGTATTTCGTTTGGCGTCATTTCCTTGAGAACTATCATTATTAGATTCTTCTAGCAATATTGCTTCGACTCGATCGTCGCGCGATCCTATAATTGTCTTCTTTACATTATTAATAGGGTCTATCCATGTCTTATTAGTAGCAAGACAGTAACTTTCATTCCTTAAGCTACTTTTGCTATATTGCTCCGTTAATCTATCAATGATAGGATTCCATGGTGAAGCTGTTACACAGGATAATAATCCTTCATTATCCAGTATATCTGCTTGCGAATTTAAAGTATTTTTCTCTTTGACTATGCCATCATTCATTTTAGCAGAATCTGATATGTATATACTACTAACAGATTCTGGTTTACGATGAGATTGTAAATTATCTACAGTATTCTTCTCATTTGAGTCGTACGATGATATCCTCCTAGCTATTATAAGATTAATTACACCGGTTACTGAGCTGTCTGTATTAAGCATTGCCCTCCTTAAAGTCTCCATTGCTTCAGAATTAGATAAGCCTAATAAAGATACACCATTAACTCTGAGCAATTGATCATTGGTTCTCAGGCGACCGTCTCTAGATGCTGCACCTCCGTGGATAACACTTTTTATAAAAATTCCTAAATCCATATTGATATTATCATCAGAACTATTAGTTTTGCCTTTAACGCTGACGCCTAAGCCAGCCTTCTCAGAATCATGTACTGGAATATCTAAATTCATTATTACACGATTCTTACGTGGAGACAAGACAATATCTTCAGAAGATTTAACTGATTTATATGTGCATTTTTCATAATTATGAGTGCTTACTTTATCCTGTATATCGTTCTTTTTTGTAGGTGATCTATTTAATGCATTCCAATATTTTGAATTATCCATTACTTCAGTAGTCGTAGAAGCAGATGTCGCAATACCCTGAGAATCCGGAATGTTTGAAGAAATTTCTTCTTGCCGTGATACCATCATCCTTACTTTACCACCAGGAGGGATACTTCTGAGCAGTGATACAACCTCTGCTTGGCTTTTGCCAGTCATCTCCTTATTATTTACTTCTAGTAACCTATCACCCGGTCTCAGTCTGCCATCTTCTACTGCAGCACCTTTTGGTAATATATTCTTAATATATATGGGACAATGTCCTCCAGCAGGATTATCACGTGTAGTAACACTAAATCCTAAACCGTTACTCCCTTTTACTAATTCTATTTCTATCATCCGTCCAATTTTTCTAGTATTTGCAGTCTGTAAAAGATTATAGTTACTACACTGAAGTCTCTTGATATTTTCATCACCTTCGGTTTTCTCTGATCCTCCACTAGTATTTCCATGATTTTTATGTAAAAACTTTTCATTCCTTGTTTTCTTCTTATGTTTAACAATAGAAATTTGCAAACAGGGATCGTTCATGCATGTTCTAAAAATTTCTTGAACTTTTGAAAATGGTATGTGCAACAAATTATGACCATTTATTTTTATAATATTATCGTGTAAATCAATTTGTCCATCTCTAGCAATGCGACCGTTTGGTTCAATACCTTCTACTCTAAGTCCTTGGCCATTGCCCGATAAGTCATAACATGGCACCACGTGGAGCCCCAGTGGCCCTGCCTCATTTTTTATCACTATCTCTTGCACCTCTTGATTTTCAGATTCGATGTTATTACCAAATTCATACGAGGTTTTAGAATCTTGACCTAAGGGTTCCCTACGTCGAGACTCTCTAGGTAGAGATTGAGCAGAATATGTTGTGAGAGAAGGCTCTCTCGTTGACAATGCATGCATTGACAATCGTTTGGTGCTTTCTCTCTTAATACTACTAGGCATAGAGGAATGGATATCAATTGGATAAGCTTGGTCCTTGCCATCTCTGTGAAAAAAATCAGGACTATTGGTGCCAACTGAGCTTGCGCCATCTCCACCAACATGATTGGCATCTGAGCTAGCAAAATGAGCAACAATTTGTTCTCTATCATCGGCCACATCGCACAATCTGTCATCTGGATCCAACAAGCCACCGCCAGTCAAAGAAGACAGACTGTTGATGGTCAGGCTGTTATCATTTTTACCAGTGGCCTTCTTGTATCTCAGGATGGCCTCATGCATCAGATCCTTGACCAGCAGAGTACCATCTCCGCACGGAACCACCACTCTGACGTTGTCGAAGCACACGGTTACCTTCATGCTCGCTCCGATTTCATATTATATGAGGAAATACGCGCGCAGGTATCAAAGCCAAAGCTTTATGCGCGACAGTGGCGGGATCGCGCGCACGAGAGTCGATGTCCGTTTGTCGCGTCGTTCACGGCGAACGGTACGCCGTCGCACGTGTTCCGGAATGTGGCGTGTCGCGGGGGTCGACGTGTAAACGTAATGCAATTACAGCGTGTTATTTAAGTCGCACCTCTCCATATCTTGGAGTATGATTCACGCACGGTATGCAGCACGCGTTGGTACGTTGCGACGGCGGAGCCAGCGATCGCGATTCGTCGGCCGAGCCCGGCGGCACGAAGGCCCGACGGGAACGTTCACGAGTGTTGGAATTCCGTCGAGACAGCGATAAGGCGAACGCGTACGCCCAATTTTATCCCGACATCAAATATGCGGAATAGACGCACTCGCCATTACAATGTTTCGTTCCGCCGTTCCGCCATACGAAACGACGGAATCAGACAACATGGCGGCGCACACATGAAATTACCACTACCACTATCACCTTCCCAGAAACCTCCAATGTGCTGAACGATTCCTCGATTCACGAGCGAAACGTGACCGGGTTTATTGAATATCGATATAAATTATACGTACCTTTTTTCAGGCATTGTGCCATTCTCGAGGAATATGTTCACTCAATATTAGAGTGTTAATAAAAACAATAAGAAACTCGTGTTCCCTCAAGTTATTCTGACATCATTTACATAGCACGGACTACGCAAAAATGGTTCCAATCCGTCGTTTCTTGTTCAGTTATAGCTACTTGGCGCATGCACAATGAGCGACAGGTGTCACTTTGTCCATTTAACATATAGACGTATATTTATGTGATAACAAACTATAAATATGTGAATCATACAATGTTTTCATATAATTGTATTAAATAATGCTAATGTTCATTTTTACCAATATAGTTTAACTTTAATCTTGGTTTAATTTATCTTTTGTTTTTTTTAGTTTTTTTAAGAATTAGAAAAAGATTAAAATTAATCTACATTGATAGAAATGGACACAAGTTACTTTCTATTCATTTCTACAGTTTTAAAGACTTTCTACCTACTATACTTTCTACCTTTGATATAAAACGATGCTATTTTTTTAATTTAATTTTTGAACAAAGACTTTTACACATCTTTATGTTAAATCTTGCTCATAGATTTTACCAGCTCGGAAAATAGTCCAGATTTGTGACTAATAAATTATAAATTCTATCCAGAAAAAAATAAGCACTATGTTTTAAATTCTGTTATATTATTAATTGTCAATTGATAAATAAATACTTTTATATTACGTATGTTATAAAAAATATACGTCTCATTATAGAGGTAAGAGGGCCTAGAATTGTCGTCATCAGGCAACAGCGCAGAGTGACGACTCATCGTACCTATCTAAACCTGACTCAGAATTTGAAACGTCAAATCCAACGCAAAATTTTTAGTGTTTCACTCCGCAGTTTTCTTCATTACGTCATCAATATTATCTGTGAACATATAAAAATATATAAATATTCTCATATAATGAAGTGGTTTGCGGGAAGTATTAACGAAGCGGTTGCGACGTCTAAATCGAGAAAGGCAGTTTTCGTCGTGTTCATTGAAGGTTTGCAATCAAAATTGTAGGTTAAGTCGAATTTAGGTTTAGCCTGATTTCAAATCATCTTTCTAATGCAATATGATGGAGATGTGACGATAAACATAGAATATAAAATGGATATTTTAATAAATCAGTTATATCTATGTAAATTCAGGCGGTCATACAAACATTGGTATAATGTTCCTTTCCAGGCAAAGATGACACATCGATACAACTTGCCCAGGCAATTGATACTACAGAAGTTTCTTCTCGCTTAGAAGGCGAACATTTTGTATCTATAAGACTAGAAAGTGGCTCTGAAGCTTATAGATTCTTTGCCCAGATTTGTATCCTTTTAAATAATATCTTTATTTTTTTATTTTAACATAGGTTTATCATATTAGACTTATCATCTTTTTAAATTTAGGTTTATTATATTTTCTTTAAATTAAATAATTAGATCAATTGGTACCAGTACCATCTTTGTTTTTCATTGGGGAAAATGGTACGCCATTGGAAATTATTGCTGGTAGTGCAACTTCAGCTGAGTTAGCTTCCAAAATTGATAATGTATTAATAAAAGCAGGAAAGAGTAATAAACAATCTTCGTTAAACTTAATTGATGCAGAACAGAAAGCTACAACTAGTAGCAGCAGTAATAATAATGCTATTGAGACTACTGTACCTAATGTGAATGACAAGAACTCAAATCCAAATGCAAATGTAACTTCTGGTACAACAGAATCTGTTAAATCAGACATTTCAAATAATGATAACAATACCATAGAAGATATGGCAAAAAATGCGACTTCATTAAACACGGGAAGTCAAGACAATAATGAAGTGTCAACAAAGACAAATACTGAAACTAAACAAGATAATCAAAACAAGGAATTAACAGCTGAGGTATGTGAATCATCAAAGATATTAAGATAAATTCAACATAATTTTTGAACAACAAATTATATCATATTTTTAGGAAAAACTCGAAAGAGCACGACAATTAATTGAACTTCAGCGAAAACAACGTTTAGACGAAGAACAAAAAGCAGAACGGGAACGTGAAATTGAACGACGCAAGATGGGACGCGATGCACAAAAAATGCGGAAAATGCAACAAGAATTGGAAATAAAACAAGCTCATGAAGAAAGAATGCGAGAAAAGGCTGCAGAAGCTGCAGCTCGTGAAAAAGTTAGGCAACAAATCGCTCAAGACAAATTAGAACGAAAACAGAAAGAACTCGCACTGCAAGTTAGTATCGTTTTAACATCAATTTTAATGTTATATTCAATGGATTCGATTCATTTCTTTCATTTTCTTTAACAGCAACAGGTGCAACAACCACAATGTCAAGAGCAACCCAAATATAATTCAACAACTAGTAACGTGACTGTTACCAGGATTCAATTTAGATTACCGTCCGGTAATTCCCATACAGGACAATTTGAACCGTCAGAGACTTTGCGCACTTTACGCACTTACGTTACCGAGAACATCGATTTACCTTTTCGGCAATTTGTCATGTCGACATCATTTCCCAGAAGAGAATTGACTAACGAAGAAAATGACAAAACCCTTTTGGAGCTTGAATTGGTCCCAACCGCTGTTATTTTAATTCTTCCTTTGAAAAATGTAAATAATAAAAATGTAAATAATATTTGTAAAATATCTTGTAAAATATCGCAATTTTTTTGTTATATTCACTTTATGTTTTTTTATATTTACAGTCTAATGTCACAACAATGGTAACGTCAACACAAGATACTGGATTCTTCTCTCGCTTCATATGGTCTTTTTTCACGCCCGTTATTCGTATTTATAATTATATAGTAGGTTACTTTTCCGGCACTAACGGAGACGCGAATCAACAACGCGGCGATTCCAACAGTGATACTGTAGAAGTGACTAATAATCGCGACAGAGCTATTTCACCGAATCGACGAAATGTAGTTCCGTCTTCGGGGTAGGTTTCTGATAAACACGCTAAACCGTCACACATACACAATCATGATGATAGAGTTATATGCATTTGCATGATATTTAAATGGGTTTAACAAAATTGTATGAAATACATAATTTCTGATATATTAAATAAACATTTCTATTCGTGATGCAGTTTGTTTAGAAGATACTTGGGTAATCAAGGAGGGACAACAATCAGGGCGCAAGGGAATATACACAGACTGCATTCAGGTGGGGATGATAATGATGAAAATAATACTTGGAACGGTAATTCTACACAGCAAATGTAAAGTAATGCAAATCTCGTTCCAATCACATTACAAACAATCTTTATTCAATCAATTATTATTCAATTAATTTTCATTACATGAATTGTTATAATTAATATTCACACCCTTCACCGTTTGTTGTGCATTTTTTCTTGTACAACATCAAAACTTATGTGCAATGTATTTTTCACACAAGCTTGATGCGCGAGTTCTGTCATATATGTTCGGCTATAGCATTATGGAAATAAGTATTTGTCAATTGATATTTTGACAATTAGCAATAACATGAACATTATCTGGATTGTTATAATGTTAAAGTTTATTGTAATGCTGTAATGTAACATTAATGCATTATGATAATTGGTTAAATATATTTCGAAAAAAAAATTGTGGGAATGTCGAGCCACAAGTGATATATGGACCAAATTGAGAAGGTTCGTAAAAATTAACATGCAGTTACAAAAATTTCGTAAATATCTTGGTTTTATATACTAGAAATTTTAATATTTATTTTAATATTTTCCTAAATAAGTTTATTGATCTTAAGTGGAATGATAACATAAGTTTCTTATCTTCTTTTATCTGAGTAAATTTTTTTTTCTCTAATTTCAAATATTAATAGAATTGCGGCCGAAGATAACAACAGTTAATTATATTGAGATGATAAAATATTTTTGTTAACATTAATATCTATTATTTAATTAAGTTAATATCTATTATTTTTCATCATGCTTCATTTCATTTATCCTTAATAGCATAAAAGAGTATAATTATAAATCAAGATAATTAAATATTTAAGAAACTAGATAACGGAATCCGTATATGTAAATGTCATTATGCGAAATTAATAATATAATTAGGGATGGCTATTTTCTGAAGATAGCGCAAATATGCACAGAGTATATAAGGGATTCAAGCCTGTTTTAATGCCTAAAGAAATAAATATAAAGGTATATGGCATTGTCTCGTTTTTATTGAACTGAATCCTTTTCTATACATATTACATGATCACCATATAACATGTTTATTATAAAACATTGAAGGCGATTTATATCAAATTACATTTAATAGCTTCATAAAAATTATGTTTCGAACATGATACGACATCAGTTTATTATAAATATGATGGTGCGAACACAAGATTGCAACGGGAAGATTTTTTATGTGTCGAAACATGACTCCAAAAATATGTTCAAGGCAAGAGAAAACAAACGCCAGGAACCTGTCGTTCCGTGTCGCGTATCATGCGGTGAATGTGTTTGAGAGAAGTGAAGATATATCTTAATTGTTGCACTTGCCACTTGCCACTCGCCAATTAAGCGTGAAATTAACAAACAGTTTGGCTTACCAACCATCGCAAAAGTTTCAATTTTCTGAATGTGAAACTTCACAGAAGCCTATCAGAGCGGTACTATACATCGGTAATATGATCTCGCGGTCACACCCACTGACAGTTTCTAGAGAACTTTATCCGCGCTTCACGAACTCCTTGCTATAAATCAAATAAAATGACTTCTCTAATCAAATATTTTAAGAAATAATTCTATTAAACAAGATATTTATTACTATACTTGAAAGTTTTATATCATATATTTTATTAGCATGAAAATTGTCTAAAAATCTAATAAAGTTTGCAAAAAGTTTATTTAATATTTTAAATAAAATCTGTAAATTTATTTCGATATTTTTATATTTCTATGTTATATTGTTTACATGAAATTATTAAAACGTGTACGATTAAAAATAACGTTAAAATCATAATTTAAATGAAAAAAGCAAATGCGCTAAAATAGTAGTATAGATGTAAATTCACGATTATTCGGCGGGATGCTATTTTTTGGTGTCTAATAATATAATAAAGGCCCAGTTTTTCATATTTATTAGACAATGCACTCAAAACGATCTCATTATTATATATGATAATCTGTAAATATGTATATCACGAGGGGAAGATATTCTTCGTTGTAACTACGCCAAATAGCCACGAAAATAGCAACTTTAATGATATGCATTTGTTCGAACGCATTAAGCAATGTCAAATTAATTATCATAAAATAATTATTATATCAAATGTTATCCACATTTTCCATATAATAAATCTTTATAATCATTTTTGTAAGCATTTATACTATGTTGTACTAAAATGATTGAAATCATTTTTATGTGATGGTAATAATGTAATATGTACTAATACTTTTATTAATCTCTTATGTGTGTGTGAACCGATTATTATTATTTAAACACATATTATTTCTTAAAATATTTCTATATATAATGATTCAAAATCCATAACAGCTCTTTTCTTTCTTTTCTGTCTATTAAACTGTTAGGCTTCATAACTGAATCAATTTTGCGTCGCATGTGCTACCTATCATGATTATTAAACGGCGTTCCGTGGTACTGACAGAAATTTATGGTCACCTCATTACCACCGTTTAGTGGTCGCTACCGATACGAGATCATTAAAAGCTCCTTCCAGAAACGCACGTGCTTGCCAAGACCCGCCCAGAAGTTTATGCGATTGGCCAATCTTACGATGACGTTGTGAGCACGTGGCTTTAGGATACCGCCTCGAGGAACGAAGAATTTGACTTCACTGCCAAAAAAATATTGTTGGACATCGTGAGTAACCCCGACAAAACAGTCACTGGTTTCGGCTCTAATCTTCCGAACAGATCAGAAGGTATCAAACGTAACCAAACAATCTTATCGTTAATTCATTCGATTATCGTTTATCATTATTTTTTCATGATTAATTAAAATATATAAGTATATAAATGATACAAAGAACGTTATAGTGAAACATCAAAAGTGTATAATGAAGCTTTAGTGTAGTTTTATTGTCAATAGATTGAACCTTGGAAGTTCGATCAAGTGTAATCGAATTTTTTTTAAAGAAAAAAGTGAATAACACCAAAGATTCATAAAAAGACATTAAAAATATAATTTTTGCGGAACTATAATACTAATTGAAGAATTAGCTTCAATGAATGGCTTCAATAGCGGAGCATTTGAGAATATAAGAAGATAATTATAGGTGATAGTAGTCAAGTATTTCAAATATTGTCTGATAAAACGTGCTCAAGATGTCCAATGAACAATTGAAAAAATCTGATTCGTCGAAGGAAACGAGTGATTCCGCGAAAAATCCGAGAATATGCTCTTTCAGTATCGAGAGATTATTAGCACCAAGCAAGATACATGAAGAAGAAAATAAATTTTCACAACAGACCGATTTATCTTTGCTTTGTCAAGAAAGTGAGTAATAATAATTATAAGGCATTATAACCATTATAATTAATTGTAAATTATTTAAAAAAAAGATAACATTTGACTTCTTAACCATTAAACTCGTAAATATTTTATTATTATTGAAAGATTGTCATTTATATTGTCTATCATCATAATATTAATAAATTATCATAATGTGATATAAATTTCACAATTTCTTTAAATAAATTTTTTTATTAATGACATATTTTTTCACTACATAACGAAAGATGATTCTTTTTGAGACACATTTTTTTCTATGTGAAATTATAGATTTTATAGGCAATCTTGATATAATAGAATTCATACGAAAATTAAACAAAATAATCACATAATAGAATTCATACGAAGATTAAACAAAATAATCACAATAATCGCCAGATAATGAATTGGAGATGAGAATGCTTGTCGCGCCCGATTCATCCGTGTCAATGGCGGAGGAAATTGAGCTCGACGATACCGACATGGTATGTTCAACATCTCCTGAGCCAGAGATGTATTACGGTAAGTTTCATTAATGTCATTACACTCTATTACATTTTCAGATAGTCACATAAATACATACGATATAATGTTTCTTATGAAAGATTTTCTCCTTTTTGTTTCTAGTTCTAATTTAAATTATTTTTTCCAAGATACCAAGAAGAAATTTTAAAAATTAATGATACGAGAAATAATTTTAATTACAACCTACTTGGTTGCGCTTGCTGTAATTTTTAGATCACTATTCGTATTACGAAATCTATTAGAACCAATATTTATTCCTTTTTAATTTATTAGCATGATAGAATAGGTTTAATACTCAAATAAAAAAATATTAAAATATGAAAATAAATAATGGATATATCCTATTTATCAGAAAAAGAACTACATTTTACAAATAATACAACTTCCTAAAATATTCGCAATATTATTTCATAGCTATATGACAATAAATTTAACTATGTGAATCTCAAAGTCGAAATTTTTGCACGTTACACAGGTGTGTAACACTTGTATTTATTTTGTTAAATCGTCTAATTAATATAGACATCTCGAATAAAAACAGACATAATAAAGATTTTAAGATTGTTTAAATTTATTTTAATGATTCAAGTCATCATATGAACTGAGAAAGTCGTTATTATAAATATATATTTATCGTTGGAAGATACTTAATGCATATTTTTGTTCCCTCAAATCAGATAAAGTTCAATTGATTCTTTAATCGTAAAATATTGCTATCATGTGTGTAATGTATGTCGAAATCATTTAATTAAATTTTAATGATATCTGCGTTTAACTGCGTATTAACGTAGTTACGTAAATTATTTAATTAAAGAAGACTGAATTTTTGTAATATTTAGCAATTCTATGAAAAAGATGATCAAATCTGTAAATATTTTAATCTTTACATGTTAATTATAATAAATAATATGGTTGAGCAGTGTTTCTCAAAAATTATAACTTTAAAGTTATTTAACGAAATATCGAGCATATTGTTTCAAAATTTCATATTTGATATTCAGCAAATAGAATTTTCTTTTTTATATGTGTATTATAAACTCTTGACAATGTTAATGTTAACAAAAAAATAAAAGTAATCCTCTTAAGTAATAATGGCGCAAGTGTACACATGTCATAAAATCTTCAAAGATTATTTTAAGCTTTTAAGCTCATCGAGAGTTACATCATTATCCATCTAAACGATTTTGCATCAATTGGCTGATAACATTATTATGGATATTAAAAAAACTGATCGTTATAAAATTCACATAAGATTTCTCTTGCGGTAACGAATCCATAAGATCGCGCAGAGAGGACCGTCGCCCGTGAGTTTGATCCATTACTTCCTGCAGGCTCCACGCCTACTCAATGTTTCTGCTCTTCATCCACTATTTATCTGTGTCCTCCTAATTTTGCCATGAAAATGCGGCACCTTTCTTACTTGCAGCAAAATATAAAAGAACGTGTTGCTAAAACTTCTTTGAAATTTTTTCGAGATATTATTTTCGGAACGATCATATCATTAGAGTTGTTCAAACTTGAAATAGCAACTTTATTATCTTGAATATAAAAGCTCCTTTTAACGATTAATTTATTATTATTATCATTATTATACGCAGTCCATTATATATCACTATAACTCGCTCAGCAAATCTTTCACATAAAATTATTTCTGAGAACAGTTACTGCTGAAATACGATCGTTAGAAGCAATACTATCTTTAATTTATTTCAATTGTTATACGACTTGGCATAATAGAGAACTTTATATTTTTACGGATAATTAATACGAGAGTCGAGCGACTCAATTCTGTGGCATCTCGCACGCCCTGAAGGACCTCAACGACTAATTTCCATCCGAGGGCACGTAGCCGCGCCGTGATTTACACGCCGTAATGGCCGACGCGATAAATTCGAGATCTAAGGAAAGGACAATTCTCGTTTACGCCGTCTGTTGGGACTGAGATATGTGGGACGTTGCGTCCAACTACAAAGCCGTCAACGCAGTACGTAAATCTTCGTGAAAGAACGATATAAAGAGCAAGAGACGATACCAGAGAAATACTTTTTGAATAAGCTCATTATGGTATTGTCAATAATTTTATCAATATTCATATATGATATTTTCTGTTAATACATTTTTAATTTTTTTTTATTCTTAGACATTAAAACCGAAAAATATTTTATATTTGATATCTTTAGACTGGATTTTTGTAATATATTTTCTTGCCTAAATTATTCGCCCAAGTTCGCTGATAATAATAATTTCACTATTTGAATATTAAGATCTAGACTGGCAACAAAGGACCTATTCGTAGAGGCATCTTTGAGGCAGATTTGCCAATCGTCGCGACTCGCGTGCAAATTAATTATACTCGGGGTAAATCATGAGCATGAAATGACCAGCTACGTCAGACGAATGAGATTTGGCCGCGCTTTATCGCGCACTTCTGCGTGTTCTCGTGCCATTCGTCACCGAATAATTAGGGGACAAGTTCGCTGTGGCTCACAGTAATTAGGTAAACTAGAAGGCGTGGTATTCTATTTCCGCAACGTCTAACGTGTCTCTGTCCGTTCGGTTTTGCTCCCCTTCGCCCTCCGTGTCTTTGATTCCTTTTTGCTTCCTCTGCACCAATCCTTTCCTACCGCTTTCCAGAGCTCGTTCGTCAATGCAACCGAGTCAGAAACTCGACGACAAATGAGCCGTACGAGACTCGCCCCTTCGCAGATTCTTTCCTTCCTCTTCTTTCTCTATCTTTCCGGTTGTAAGCAGGTTGTGTTAATTTCATCTACATCACATATGTGATGTCAAAAGAAAAATTCACTAAATTTAACCTTTAATATTTATACATTGATAGTAATCAATAATGTTTTACAATATTATCTAATTTTAGCGATATGTTTTTAGATAAATAATTTTGATCAACTTGTAACTTGTTTGATATTACTTAAAAAAATAATGCTAATGTTTGTGTTAGAGCAAAAATATCTGGATATCTTTATGATATACAATATCATTTTCTGCAAATATACTTAAAAAATACACGATGATTCGAAACGAAATATTACCACTGCTGCAGCAGCTGACATGATCCTCTTTTGAAACGTGGAGAGCTGCATCGAGCGTGTACGTTGGTAGAGTATTTCGCGCGAAGTGAATTAGAGGCGGTACGGTTTTAGCCGACAATTCTGCACTACGGCTATAGACGAGGAAACCACGAAAAAGGCGCGAGAAACGCGACAATTACGTCGCCATCTGACAATTAGTAGCCAGTAAACGGTTCTTCTTGGCATAACGTCGCCGCGAATAGCTTTTTCGGAATATTTATTGCGCGGCACACGAAACCACCTGAAATTGATCATTCTTTCTCATTCCTTTCCTTTCCTTTCCTGTAAGTTGAACAGTTTTCAATCTTACGAAAATAATTTACGCTAATGAGTTTTAATAATTACGGAGCAGATGTTATTTTCAAAGCTTTTAATAATTGCCAGTTTTTAATTTTAATTTTACTTTAACTTCAATCTAAAATTAAACATATTTTATTTAATTATTAATTAATTGTTTCTTATTATTAATTTGTTTTTTCTTTATATCACGTAATATAGATTATTTATCTTTAATGTATGTTGTTGATAAAAACAGTGAGATAAATATTTTTCGGCTTAATTAGTACTGCTCTCTCTTTATAAAAAAAAATCTTGAGAAAACTTGAGAAGTTGTTGAAGTATTGAGATTATTTCAATGACGATCGTTATAAGTAGTGCTTAGTCAACATTAGTCGCAAGCGTGAAGGCTTGGTCGGTGTGTCGCGATGCCACACTTTTTCGTCGGATGACGAATGGGCAGATAATTAGAAGATGATCCTCCGACGCTTAAGAGAGCGCGGTCTTGTTACCAACCGCCTAAAAGCGAGCCCGAAGACATTTTTCACGACACGCAGCGCGACGTCGTGTAAGGCAGTCTTGTAAGTCGGGATAAATATAAATATAAACAACTTCGACGTACAAAAAGTCTCGAGATTGATGAGAAAGAGGATTCCGTGAGGGTAATTGGAGTTCACTTGCACTCAACGGATAACGTTTGCGCGCGTTATTCGCCTCATTCAAAAGCGATTAAAAAGATAAAGATATGGTGTACACGACGGGTTGCGAGTGAATGATGACGCGATTTCGAAGCTCGCATCAATTATTTGTACCATGCCGCGATACCTTTCTCGTTTCCATACCGAGAGACTTACGCTTTGTAATTTGCAGTTACTTAATCGGACCATGTTTGATGTTTGTGTCGACCAATACATGTGTCGATTATCAGAAAAATATTTATGTGCGGGTATTTGGTCATTAAGGCCTCGATTACGCGATGTCATAAGCGTCGTCGTATCGCTGATACATGTTGTTGTTAATTAGTTGTAAAATAACTTAAAGGGATTATATCTCAACGGAGCTGCCTTATTCATGTTGTTCATCTCGATGCAAGGAATGTAATATATTTTTACAGAAGCGTGCACCAGCAGTAGCGGCGCAAATTCAACCACGAGTGCGGATAAGGAAAAGACCGCCGCCGCTATTAGTGACGACGAAAGGAAGAAGAGGCCACGCACGGCGTTCACCGCTGCACAAATTAAATCCTTGGAGGCGGAATTTGAAAGGAACAAGTATTTGAGTGTGGCAAAGCGACTGCAGCTGAGTAAAAATTTAAAGCTCACAGAAACACAAGTAAATATCTTATTTTCGGTTTACTTTCTCTTTAAATTGATTCCTTTTTAGACAAAATTATATCCTATAAGGCATATAATTTTAATTCAATAGACATTGATTAAAAATATCACAATTGTGAAATCTTAATTTTAAAGTGATTAACAATTCTGCTATATCTGCATCTAGTATATTTCTATACTAAGTTTTATATCAAATCTCATTAGAGATTTACAATATCGAAATAGTTGATTGAAGTAGTTGTATCCTAAACAGGATATTGTGTTCAATAAATCGCGATAATGCCTTCAACTTCCGTAGAGTTCCTTCAACACCTGAAAGAGTTTAAGTTTCTTGTACTTGGAGTTCTTTAAAATCAACTGACTCTAAATTATGGGCCTGTAGAACACCATATGTGTAGGCGCCAGGTCATGGCGCCATGGGGGAGGGTCGTCCTTTAGAACCAATTAGCACTTCTACCCTTCTTTCTCGCGAACTGTTATGGAAAGAAACTTTTTGTCACATATTTAACCTTTTCAGGATTTTTTTCCGACGTAACCGGAATTCGGCTATATAGTACTCAAAATAAAATATAAAAAAGGTTTTACAAAAATGTTTCATAGAATTTGAGATACCTATCATTTTTTACTTATCATATTCCTTAAATGTGATAGTTGAAGAATAATTTCATAACATTAGTCTAAAATTCGACAATTCTCTTTCTATGTTTCTATGAAATCTTGCTTTTATTCCTGCAACCATAATCCATAATGGATTTCTATGGATATTATCTTCTAATATTAACCGGTCTTGAGGGAGCACTCTATAATTTTCCGACATGACTATATTCCTCCACAAAGCGCAGTGGAGTGCAATGGTTGCGTAAGTCTCAGCATAGTGCACTTTGTAGTTTGATACTCTCCCGTGCTTTAAACTAATTAATTTATGGTCCGCACCCCCAGAATATTCGCTATTGCGAAGATTGCGCCACGTCGTCATCGCCAACCGGTTGCTCGCCGGCCCGGCAATAATTGGCAGCATCGGTCGAAATATCGCGAACGAGCCGGATAATTATCTCTGCAATCGCGGTCGAAAGGAAGAACGATCGGACGACGGATCAGAGGCAAGAAAGAGACGCGTCGTGCCGCAGACATAACTGTCACAATATTTCTCGGAGTTAACGAGCCAGCTCGGGAGAACTCCTATTCTCCCCTTCTCGCAGGCCATCTCGTCGTCGTTCCATCGTCGCGAGGCTTGCATCCGCCGCGGAACGAAATGTACCGAGCGACGGCTGCTGCGCGCCGTCGAGGCGACGAACCGGAGAGGCGTCGATTTTTTAATTAGAATACATCGTCGGCCCCTTACGTTCGCGAACTGACTGGAGAGACTCTTTAGAAAATTTTGTTCTATATAAGAGACGACACTATTTTTTTAATAACGAATTATGTACTATTTGTTAAAAATTAAATGTTATAAAAGAAACGTAGGCCTTGGCAATTTAATCCTTTGATCTAAAATTTAGTACAAGTTATTAAATTTTTGAGCAATATTAAGTTAGTTAAACGGTTAAAGATAGCCATATATTGTTTAATGAAGAAATAATTTAATATTCCTATATTTCACGGACCATGTGTAAACCTGCATTATTTTATCTTTTACAGATAAAGATATGGTTTCAAAATAGACGGACTAAATGGAAAAGAAAGTACACTAATGATGTAGAATTATTGGCGCAGCAATACTACTCGAGCTTGGGAATTCCAGCACCACGACCCATTTTTGTCGGTGATCGCTTATGGTATATCTAATAAAAAATATAATTATTTTTAATGAATTTTTTTTCTTTCTGTAAAGAATATGCCATTTGTTTTGTCAGATTACGAAACCTAATTTTAATACAAGATGCTATCACATTTTTTAAAGAGAAAAATGAAAAAAAATATTAACTTTTATTTAAAAAAAAGATAGATTGTTTCCTATATATTTTGAGTTCTACAAAATGATTTTTTTTGCATATGCTTAAATGTCTAAAAAAATAATCGAATAAATATAATCTTTGCATGGATTAGAGTAAGCACACACAAAAGCATCCATCAAAATACCATTTTTATTTTATGATAAAAAAAAATAAAAAGCGATTCAACTATGTTGATTAAATGATATAAAAAATTAACATAAAGATACATAATTTTGTGTTATGATTTTAAAATTATGCTCTTAATTAAGTATAGATTATGTTTTGTATGTTGTAATATACATATAACATATTAACATTTGTCTCTTTATAGGTTTTTCAATTACCCAGGACAATCACAAACAGGAGTACCTTTGCTCCCGCAACATTTAACACAGTTGCCATTACCATCTGCATTACCTATTGTTCAACCATTGCCCAGTAATTTATCAATGAGACAACAAACACCTATCTTTCAAAATATATCGACTAGTCATCTCGCGCATCATCTAACTCAGCGATTGGATTTTAGGCATCATGATCCTTAATCTTCAAGTAAATTATTGATAAACAATCGTACATAATTAACTAATAACAAATCCTTTACACACATGAAGAAATATAAAATTTTATATTTTATATCAAATCATGATATAACTGCCACATTTTGCGTGCCATATGCTATCGAGATACTGACCATACAATGCGCACCTGTCATAATTTTTTATTTACGTAAAATGAATTAGTTCTATTTACGCAATGTAATTAAATATTTTGTTATATTTTTTCTTGACTTGACTAAAAAATAAAATTAACTTAATCTGAATGTATACTTGAAAAATAAGCAAAAGAAATAATATTTGCTTAAAAAAAACTTAAATATGAGTTTATTATTATAAAGATGATTGTTGAATATATTTACAGATTCATTATTTCCAAAAAGTTAAATCAATACAATATTAAAATGAATGAAATCAGACATATTAAGTTATAAACTTGATTTGAATAATTGAATAACTTGATTGATTAAAAAAATTGGATACATATTCGTATAAATAAATTATTTTTTACGCGAAGAATATCTTTTAAGGCATTTACCTCAAAATTTTGCAAAATTCTGCAATATGAAAGAACAAATAATTCGTAATAATTTTTTTATATATGCATTTATAGGGATAATGATACAAAATAGTTTTTTAGTTCTACTATCTATATTATAAATTTAATACAAAATTTGTGACAAAATTTTTACAAAGAAAAATAAAATAAAATTATTTACATGTTTAAATTAATGATGCAAGCAAATAATATCATTGTAGAATTCAATATGCATTGTAAGAGTAAAATAAAGTTATAAAAAATTGTTTAAGAACATGTACAGGATTACATGAGAAATAAGGATTTTTAGGAATGTACAAGAGGATAATGTAAGAATTTTTATTATCTTAAATATTAAAGTTTACATTTATTATCACAGAGCAGGAGATATAATTTTATTAACTCCCAAAATTTTGTCATCGTGAGCCGCTTGATCTTGAATAATTTTTGCGTATTTTTCATTATCTTGTAAATCTTCTTCATCCAGCATTTCCTGCATTCTCTGTTTGTATCTATAATTTTTTAAATTTATACGAACAATCCTTATAAAATAATGTCAAACTTACATATAGATAAAGATACTTACATTTCACTATCAGGATTATTTTCTTGATTTCTACATTTATCAAGTTTCTTCTCTAAAGCTTTTACTATTTCTCGTGAAGGTGGTTCCACACATTTAGCCATTGAACGTATTTCTATAACAATTAATTCATAAATATCAATAATACATATGCATAAGCACATGCAAATATAATTACATAAAATATAGTTACTTCGCACTGCTTCTATAATCCCACCCAATTGCTCTCTCGAGAACAGTATGTCAGTAACATAGTTGTCTAAGTTTGCAGAAGCTCTGGATGCAGCATGTAAAGTTGCAGCCAATGCTACTTGGCTTGGAGCATAAAGGAGTACACTGTCTGTCAGAAAAACTCGTTCTAAAAACTCATCTATATGTTGTCTTAGTTTCTCGGGATTTTCTAAGGATGTATATCTTGTCTATAAAAGCATCAATAATATATTTATTTGTCACATATAAATTATAGATCGATAGAAAACTATGTACCTTTATATCGATCATTAAACCTTCTACAGGTCTAAATGGATTATGAACTGTAAGATTATAATTTAACTGTTGCATAAGAAGTAATTCATTATTAAGAATTATATCAGATGCTTTTTCTCTATCTCCCTTAATATTTGCTACAAATTGAGATATAGAGACATTAAATTCTTCAACCTAAAATAAGATATTTCAATCATCAAAAGATTGAAATTACAAATAACTATGAAAAATAATATATTACAGACAATAGTTACTTTGCATGCTAGATAAACGCAAGTGACCAAAATCTCTTTTGGATGATAATCCATCACGCTATTTCTAAGATAAAACCTTTTAAAATAGTGTAAGGCAGTGGCTACAGTAGGACGAGGCATTTGTGGATTGAATCGACGACAGAAATCTCTTAATTGTAATTCATAAAAACGAAGTAATGTACGTTCCTCTGAATGCGAGAGGAAATGTTCCTCCTTTTGTTCTGGCTATATTATAGTTAAAAAAAAAACAATTGCGATTATACTATGTACTTCTCGGCTTAGTTAATATAATATTGCAAATAAAAATATAGTATAAATTCGTAATATACTGATATTAAATAATAGTAATATTTTGTATACACATAACCTAGATTTTCATCGATAAGCAAATAATAAATATACAATGAAATAATCATGCAAATGAATAATTTAATACAAACAGTTATAAATAGTTACGAAAAAATAAGAAGAGAACAGACTCACGGTCATGTTGACTCCGTGTTTTGCAATAAAATCAGCATTGGTTTTCTCTCTTAATGTGGTCAAATCATTTTCATCACTAAATATCCAGTATTTCTTTTGTGAACTTTGCGGAAACATTTTAGCGACGTATGAATGATAAAAAGAGCAAAAAACCAAAAATTGCCAAAATAATCAAAATTTCATAATGCAACCGACACACTTTACTAAAATAATAAACTGAAGAACTAGACAAGCAGCACCACCACGCGGTGGATTTTAAAATAAATGGTGCCGTGATATATAAATACAATTCCATTCATTCAAATAAATGTAATAATTTTGTATATTTTATTAATATAGTTTATCAAAATTGTTAATGCAATATGAAAATTGCCATGTTGCGTATAAAAATTTTTTTTCACCGAAAAACTATCGATCCTGGATAAAATGATTAGAATTAAATTAAGAATTAAATTAAAAATTTGCTAAACAAATATACCAGAAAACATTAAGACAGCTTAAAATTTTGTAGACGTTTCACTAAATTATTAAAAAGATATCTTTTTATGACGTTTTTAAAACTTATTTATGACATTTTAAAAATATTTTATCTAAGATCATTATTAGACTTTTTTGTAATTAAATTTATTGTCGGTTTTTAACATTTAATTTTTTTAATATTATTATGAATAATTTCATCACAAATCATCATTTTTAATATATTTATCGTATTCTCAACGGGTATTACTTCTTAACAGAAGTGAGTTGAAGAGATTGGTTCTAGAGTGCAGCATGAGTTATGTTTCCGAGCGACTTTTGACCAATAGATGTATACAATAAGAAACTTTTTCATCATTCTTATTATTAAATCTTTGTAAAGAAAGAATTGCACATGTTTTGTATCTAAACTTTTATAATTGAAATAGTACAAGAGATTACAAATTAAATATAAATAGATAACAATTCTTAATGAAAATAACTTTATTACATTAAAAATAATTTTACATATTTTTTGTTACATCCTGCATTTTAAATGACACATTTCATATTTTGTTTTGTATTAGAATAATAATTAATCACGAATATTAATTACATTATTTTTATAAATGAAAGAATAGAATATATAAATTGTCATATTCATATTGTTTATATAAAAAAGTATAAATATTTTATTAAAAAAAAAGGAATCAATTTTGCAATAATGATAGTAGGATTTGCAATTGCAATAATAATAAGAAACATTATAATTATTAATTATAGTACTAACAGTATAATTATTAATTATAGTAATTAGAAATTAATAATGATAAATACAAATTCAAAAGTGAAGATTCAAGTGTGATTACCTAAATAGCAAACTTAAATCAGTTTCAACAAGCATTAGAAAAGGGTCACCGCATTTTTTGTATATACATTGCGGGTAATAAACAAGATCACGGGATCGGGAGTCTCGATGGCGGGACACCGAGGGTATGGATGGCAAAAGGGATGAAAGGGGAGAGACGGGTGGCTGATTTTAATATGGACGCCCCCGCAAGCGGTTGTGCGTCCGATCTGAGTAGGCGTTCCTACGACCCTTTGTCAACCGACAACGCCGCTGCATCTTATCGCGCGATCGTAGTCGGGGATCTCCCCATTCCTCCACGTTCGGCCCTCGAGGCCATCGCTGTCGCTGCCGCTTGCTCAAGCGGAGAGACGCGTCGGGCTCCTTCTTCCCGTTACATCGACGGTTATAACTCTCCGCGTCGTTTTTTCCACGTTGGTTACGTCGCCGCGCGACTTCGTCGTCGCCGTCACGTCGCGCCGCGATCTGGCCCTCCGATCTTCTTTTCGCCCGGTATCGCGGCTACGATCCCGCATCGATCAGAGATGGAAACTGGTTCAGATCGTCGCGGATTTGCATACGAGGGATACGATACGCGTGGATAGAGGCGCAAGTCTGATTTATGAGTTTCGATATTTTTCGAACGGTTAATTGTATTCGGCAGCGGCAATAAAGTCGGCTGATATTTATGGATTCGACTACTTGTTGTGTATTGCGAACATCGCTGATTTATGTATAATTAGATAAGGGAAATTATAGTCTTTCCTTCGTGTTCCTGTACGCAACATCCCTGTTTCTTCATTACGTTCACAGACAGATAAGCACATTGTTAATCCTCTTCTGTAACTTTTATCGATAAGCAGTCATATCATAAAGAAATCGAAAATATCTGTAGAAACGGATTTATTTTCTCGCGGTGCATAGGCTGTTTTTCTAACATCGCGATGCACAATTGCGATTTATGTCAAGGGCTCGTACTATCGATTCGCTGTATCACTGACATTGTATCGCTGACGACAAAGTTGAGAGCTCTGTCGATACTCTGGCTATAATTATCAAAAAAGATATCGGATTAGTAGACGATCCACGAAGTTCGTTAGTCGGCACCAAACTCGAGGAGTTTAATTTCCTTAGCAAGGAAAGAGGAGGGAGAGGGAGAGAAAGAAAGACGCCGTCCGAAAGTGAAGTACATCCGCCATTAATCTAATATTGCGGTCGCCGCCGCCCTCGATGTTGCGTGCTGCAGCCCGGCCGCGTCAAGTTTCGCTCCCTTTGAACGAAACGGAGTCGTGGCGAGGGCACGTGAGCGTATACATACACGTGCATTGTGTACACATTGACGGCGTGGAGAAGAAAGAGGAAGCGAAATGGGCGCGATGTGTCGGTCGCGTACTAATGCGAAATCAATGCCCGGCTTAGCTTGCGAGGTGTGACGAATAAAGTGGATTACCACTTGCGGTGCCTCTCCGGCCTCGTTGTAATCAAGAGCGGGACTCTGTCCAGCGAGTTGGAAAATGTCGATAAATTATTATTCGATGATTGCAAAACGTGGACAGTAGTTATGGACACATATTGATGTTAGCGGATGTTGTTCGGAACAGAGAAAGAAGGGTGCGTTTTGACATGTGGTTAATGTTGTGTACCGTCATGTGTTTCAGCTCTAACGACGGCATTACACGTCAGAATATTTATATTAATAGGCGTAGTAAACAAGATAAATATAAATGAAAGTGTACTCTACGGACCATCTAGATCAACGAGCAAATTGCTTTTTAGGGAAATTTAAATAAATTATATACAGCTCTATAGACTTTCACAAGTAAAGCGTCGCGTTATTTCCAACGTTTTCCGAATTGCGAATGATGGACTTTCACCGATAAGGACTAATTGAAACAATTCCCAGAATCAACACGCAACTACGAACGTGTGACCTGCATTGCATGGTGCGGTAGAAATGTCGTTGGTTAACTGGCAAAGAGCGGCATCATGTTTCGGTTTTCACACTCACGATCTGCCGGTCCGCGCGCACGCAAACTCGGATCGAAAACGCGTCCCTCGACGTGACAGATGTCATACTTGCATATTATATCGAACCGATGATCACGGACTGCCTTTCCGAGCGAGTGACTCTCGGAATACGGTGACGATCACGATCACGAGTCCTTCGTAAGTCGACACTCTCGATAGTCCATTTTTGCGCGTGAAGAAGCGATGTCAGCTGTATGAGAAGACAGAACACAGTTTGAAAGTGTGAAACAGAAATGCTTCTAGCTCTCTGATTTCCATAGCTCTTGACAGTGAAACTCTTTGATAAACGCAGATTTGAAAGATGTTGTACAATGCAATACAATAGTAATTGTAATTGTATAGATATGTAATTGTATAGATGATGTTGTACAATGCAATACAATAGTAATTGTAAAATTATCAGTCGTTTGATATATTTGTCTTTTTTAATAGAAATATACATGCAGTCTGTCTGAAGTTAAATCAGCGAATATTTTCAGAATATTTTAGAAAAATGAATTCAAATATTATCAAATAATTGATTATAATTAAATAACATTTTATAATAATAATGGTAAATTAGGCTGATGTAGCATCTGAGATATTCTATTCGCGTGATGTAACACGAGCAACCATTTAATTCGCATAATTAGCAAATGGCTAATTAATTAATTACTTACCGCCTGAAGGAACGACGTATTAAACATATCCCATATGTATACATAAATAATAATGCCATGGGAGACCGCTATCCTTCCACGTGCAAGAAAATTCAAATTAAAGTCTATGAGCCGAGGAAACGTTTCCCACCAAATTATGGCTAATTAAGGAACTTATCGAAGTACAAATCGCAAGTACATAGGACGTTTGCACAGATTTTGATATAAATATGCAGATAACGAATAATATATAAAAAGATCAAGAAGAAAAAATCGACGAAGGATTTGTGATGAGATTGTAAGCAAAAGATTTTCGTTAATTTTTTAATTCGTCGTTAAATTCATGTTAATAGGCAATATATTATAGCGGCGGCAGACATCGCGCGTTATCTTCTATCAGGTGTCTCGGATAATGTTAGTTTATTAGTAAAACGATTATGTAGGTACGTTATGGAGCAACGTCTACACGCGGCACCTTAAACATGTGTAATAAAACATAAATCATTGTACTTGCAAATGTACACTAAATGGAGAACGAAGAAAATGTGATAGGTTGTACAACTATGTATATGTATGTGTCACTACATACATTTTCATTTGTTAATCCTATCTCAGATTATTCTCGTAGTTAATCTATATATTATTCGTGGGACAAAAAAAAGGAATTGAAAATTCTTAAATTAAGATTGAAATTAGCATATATTTCACAGACCTTTGTAATTACGAAAAAGTAAAAATTACTTAGATATATTTAAATTAAAAAAAAATAGATTTTTAATTTAAATAACGTATTGATTTGCTTGTGTTATGAAGCTTTTTTGAGAAAATGGAACTTTTTGTTATAGTACTGCAATAATCAGAGATATTTTTGCAATCTATTAATGATCTACTAGTGATCAGTATTCACATTTATACGCGTTCCGTAAGCGTATAAGTATCGTACGCAGATCGCTGCGGTATTAGCGGTATCGTATGCAAACCCGTGCCGGTATTACGTTCGCCGATTACATCTATGACATGACTCATAGCGTTTAACTGAGATTATGGCAATTTATCAGACTGCCGTGGACTCTCGTTATAAATCGAGCAGTGCTTGACACGTCGCGTCAGACTGGCGTCATTGACTTTTACGTCGACATTTTAGTGATACTTGTTTCGTTTTATAAAATGAATAAAAGAACTAAAGTTTTGTTCATTGAACTTTCTAGTTATTCAAACATAAATTTCTTCGCTCATCGTATTGCTATATTGTATTGCTATAAGTAAAAATTT